TACATTTCCAATCAATCGACATTCACCGAATTGCATTTTATTTTTATCCCCATCTTCCATCATCTCCCTTCCCCCCTCCTCAACCCCACACACACCCCATAGGTGCGATGTGATGCGATGGCACGATACGATACGATACGATACGATACGATAGATAGATAGATAGATAGACGAGGATCGATTGCCGGCTGTTATTTCTATATGCGTGTATGGCATCGTGATGATATCTCGTGATTGTTTTATAGATCTTCCATATACCGTATGCAGTACTGTACCATACATACCCTTCCATTCCATGATCATATGCAACCGTACTCTACGATATGAACGCCGCGGTACCGTTTCTGGCGATCGGTTCTTGGGGATGTACAGCACCGCACGAGTACTCGAGTAGGTCTTGAAATCAAACCTAGTGAGTGCATCATCATCATCATCATCCGGGCTTCCGAATGATACTTGTATACGAGTATTCGTACTGTGCGCTATAGTACAAATAAGTAAGTAATAATAATGATAATAATAATACGGGGTGGGTATATCGGTGATAACGCCCTACCGGCACCTTCCTATTTTCACGGGACCGCGGTAGAATGCTGTTCCGTGTACGGTATGGTACTGCACTGCACTGTGTATAGAGTATACAGTACAAAGGGCCCGCCGGGGCTCGAAAAGTCGATCGATTGGTTCGATTCGATTTGGCAGGGGTGGAATTAATTCCCGGCGATCCGAGTCTACGGTACGGTATATGGTGTACGAGTACTGTACAAGTACTCGTACAGTACTCGTACATACGGAATGGGGAAGGAAGGAAGAAAGAGAGAAAAAGAAAAAAGAAAAAAAAAGTCCGGTTGTCTTCACCGAGAATCCCCTACGGTATTGTGTTGTACTAGTACTAATATGATACTAGTACGGTACTGTACAGTACTGGTAGCTGCAAGGGGACGGTGAAAAGTAATACCGTACAAGTAGTACCTGTATTATGGAAAAGGGAAAAAAATAACTTAAAAAAATGTGCGATACTGTATCACCCCCTAAGCCCATTCACTCGGTTCGGCCGCCGTCGGGGGGGTTGCTCTTCGCTAAGAGCAGCACGAAACAGCACTTGTCCGAGTAAGCATCATACCGCACAAAGCAGTATCTTACCGTACCACAGATGCGTCTCAAGGAATATTTAATCATGATACAGGTACGGTACAGCACTAGCCTACATTCTCCCCACCCACCCACATATGATACCAATCTCCATCGCACGACGCCCTTTTTGGCGCTTCAATATTGACTGAGATGGGGCGGGGTGTTTGAGATTCGAACTCCGCTCTCTCGCCTACGGTCTGGGGGGGGAATGTCTCTGTCTGCCGTCAGAAGGGAAAAAAAAAAAGAAAACGAAAAGAAAAGAAGGAAAAAAAAGGGCACGCAGCACCTTTTTTAGGAATCGCATCTTGCAGAGCCAATGGCGTTCTGCTTGCTTGCTTGCTTGCAGGTGGATCAGCTGGCTGTGGGCACATCATACATTCCTAGCACAGAGAATTCATATGCGGTGGCGAGGGTCCCCCCCCCATCATCCGCATCATCAGCATCATCACCATCAGCCGCTTTCTTGTTCTATTTACTCTCCCACCCCCTTTTTTTTCTTCTCCTTCTCTTTCCCTCTCTTCGCTTCTTTTTGCACTCTGTCTTCTTCTTCGTCTCGTTGGGTTCCCGGGGGTGTGGGTGGGCTGGCGGAGGTGGGCGGAGGTGGAAGGGAGCGGTGGTCGCAATGGAGGTGGTGGTCGCGATGTGATTGATGGATGGTGATTGAGGGAGGGGCTGTGCGATTTGGTGCACAGCCTTGGGTACCGTACCATACATCGCGCATATCCACACACTTCTCATTCGGTTTCGGTGTTTCCCAGCTTTCCGTAGTAATGGGAGATCCGGGAGTTGGCCAGAGATCCCGTAACCTTCGCCAATCGATCCCCTTAGCGAACAATCTATCAATATATCCGAAGCGCGGTGCCATGGGAACATTGGTCTCTCATCCACCTATCACAATTTTGCCGAGCAGTCCAATCCGAGTGAGGCCAGCAGGTGATGATGATAATAATAAACCGTACGGCGGTGGAAGCTATACATGGGAGAGAGAGAGGGAGAGAGAGTAAGATGCAATGCAGCGAATCATTACTATCATACGGCATTGACGGCGTTTCCGAAACCCTACATTTTCGTATTACATATCCCCAACAGCCTGGTGGAGTTCTGTGCTGTGCATGCCACCCGGGCAGCGCAGAATGCTTACGAATACAGCTCCCGTAATAGCGGTACCCTACGCTTCTCGCCGGCTCCCAACGAGCGGGGGGAGAGGGCCCAGCCCACGCCGCCCGGGTTTGAGCTCTGGAGAACGCGCACAGAACGCCAACCGTGACCTCTTTACGCGCATAATCGAATTACCGGTCAGGAATCGGGCTTTGGGCAAGATGCTTGGTGCTCCGCTCTACCATGCCTCCCTTCCCCTTCCCTTCCCTTCCCTTCCCTTCCCTTCCCTTCCCATCACGCACAATTCACCCACCCCCACCCCCTTCCCCATCAACTTCCGAATCGTGCGGATGTGAATGGCTGAAATTGTTCGTGGGAATCTATTTTATCCTACTTCTCCCCCCCCCCCCTTGAAGCGAGCGAATGCGAGAGGGATGGAGGGCGGAATTCGCGTGGTAATGGGCGGGGACAAGAAAAATATTACCCCTAGCGGGTCAATTCGCCCTGGGAATTTGGTCATTTGATGCCGGTCAGTGATAGACATGCTGGGACCAATATTTCTCTCAAGAGCATGGCGCTCAGCGGCAGAAAACCAAAGACAGTATTTGAGTACTCGAGTACAGTACCGTAGTTGTTAAAAGAGGAAGAAGAAAAAAGGTCAAATCCCTATCCTTGCCATCCCCCCCCCATATGACTACCCGTTTTTCTGGACTGAGACCAAAACGAGAGGTGCTAAGCAGTAATAAGGGGAGAAAAAAAAAAAAGAAAAGAAGAAAGAAGAAGAAAAAAAAAGGGAGTGCCGCCTTTACAGGAAAGCGACAGGCGGTTTGGGCCGCCCTTTCAGCAGGAACAAGAGTCATGATCCCGGAGATTTTACATTTCCCCTGCAGCCTCCCGATGAGAAGAGAATAATAAAGATAATGAGTGATGCGCCATGATCCTTGAAAGCCTCCCTTCGCATCTGCCCCTTTCGCGCATTACCTTGCCTTGTTTCCTCGATCCCCTTCACAGTCCCCTCCCATACGATCCATAAATTCACAAGTGGGAAGGGGAAAAATGGGGTGGCGAGGGATTGTTATCGAACCAAGCCATTAATCCCTCTCCGTGAAGCTCTTCTCATCACCCTCGGTCATCATGAAAGCATGCGCTACACGTTTCTGATCCTCCCGCGAGAAACTCTTTTGTCTCGCGTGATGGGACGGCTTGCCACTATTGTCTGATCTGCCCGTCTGCTCAGCAGCTTGTTCTGCGGAAAAGCCAGGGAAGCGAGCGCTGTCGTGTTCGTAGTTGTGGGACGAGCGTCGAGGCAACGGGGGGATATTAGTGAATGGCTGTTGCTGCTGCTGGCCATCATCGACTTTGGCGGCCTGCGAGGGCTCAGTCCTGTTCTCGATGATGGACTGGGAGCTCTGCGAGGAGGGTGCAACCCAGGACTGGTGAGGTTTCTCGGCTGTATGTTGAGACATATCTCTCTTGTCTTTCGTTCTCTACTTTACCGTTACCAAGACGAACTCTCACTAGATGCCTTTTTTTTTTTTCTTTTCCCTTTCCTTCCCCCCCCTTTTCCTCGGGTTGAAGGAAAAAAACAGGAGAAGGTCCTCCCTTCCAGGGAATGACTTACTTTTGGAGACCAAGTCCGACGGAGAATATATTTTTTTGTCTCGTCAGGGAGAAAATGATCAATTGAGTATCTGGAATTTCCGCTGGTGAAAGGGGGGAACGGGTGGTTGAGGAGGCGGGGAGAGGTGACGAAATGCGGGGGCACTTTTTTTATTCGAGGTGGTGATGTGCGCTTGCGTGATCATCGCTGCACCATCCCTGTTTGTGGTGAGATGCTATGCTTGCTCATGCGTGTGCCACAAGGGTGTGGTACATAGGATCCCCATGATAAACTATGATGGAAACGGCTGTCGGTAGCAGGGCTAACAGCCTGAACGGGACCTCATCCAACTGCTCTTCACAAGGGCTACGAGTACAGTGGTCCACAGGCGACAATGAAGGAAAGAGGGGAAAGGAAGAGGAAAGAAAGAAAAGAAAAAACTCTTTCTGATCAAATTAATCGGAATATTGTTTTAATCGGTTACTCGCGTACTGGTATTTAGCCTCGAACTGGCTGGCTCGCATGAGGGATATTTTTAAGTGTTGTCATGAGGATTTGCTCCGGTCACGGGGATCACCTGGTATCACTCGCAAAGTTCTCAACATCTCTTGGATTTGGGGGAGCTCCGTGCTTTGAATCAACCGGGAGAGGCCCGTGGTTTTTCGGATGCAGTTGCTTCGGGTCGGTTCGGCAAACTATTTCATCGGAAACCTCCATCTGGAATTTGGGTCGTAAATATGGTGTCTTTTTTTTCTTTCTTTTCCGCTGGGGGCTGGCCTATGATGAGAGGGGGGGAAAGCAGATATAGTAATGAGCTAGGGGATTTACTTAGTTTCAGTAGCTGAAGCCGTGTATCTGGGCAATCTTGTATGTATGCAGAGGGTTTGGAAGGAGAAAGGGTGAGAAAAAAAAAGGGAACAAGGAGTATCGCGAGGCTGTCTTTCGATTGGGTTCGGAAAATACGTGTCTGGACTGGTGGTGGTCCGTCAGGGTATGTTATAGTGCCCAGGATTATCATTTGGCATGGTTCAAGATGAGTTTCACCATCATGTACCGTACAGTACTGTGCTAGTGCTCGAGTACAGTACGTACGAGTTTGACTTGTAGGGGATAATTGTTTTTTCCATTTAGCAGGTTCATCCATACAGAATCACTTGGCTCTAGTTTTCTCAGTGGCAAATCAAGCTGGATTCTGCTAACCTCTAAAAAAAAAAGAAAAGAAAAGGAAAGAAAAAAAACAACAACGCCGAAACTCCCTTATTTGGAATAATGTTAATGTGAATCGCCGTTCAGTAGTAGTAGACAGTGGGGGAGAGGGAGAACTATCTTGGATATGGTGATAACGTGATGATAGTGGAGAGATCTGGGAAAAGGAAATAAAAAGTATGATGAAAAAAACAAAAAACGAAAATAGGAAAAATAAGACGATTCCCGCTCGCTCTGTTAAGCTGTTCGCTGGACTTCCGCGAATTATGCAAACTTCGGCTTTGCCTAACGGTTTTTGTCGGAATGGTGGGATCCACGACGCCTCCGACGGGATCCCGAAAAAAAAAAGCCCCCTCCCCTCGCTCCCCCCATCGACTTCCCCATCTTTTTTTCTTTCCTCTACCACCACCACCACCACCACCACCACCACCCAAGGTTGATGAGAAACACGGCCATATCGTGCGATTAGGCCGAGAGTCCAGCGCTGGGCTGCTCCGGTTGGCCTGAACGGAAGTGGGCTTGCCCCGGAAAGATTGATTCACTTTGTGTTTCTTCCTCATGTTATCTAAGACATTTACTGGATAACTTTGGTCTCACTCATGGTGGAGTGGGCAGAGCTGAACCGAGTGGCGACAAAACGCTGGCGAAATGGGCGCGAATGGGAGGGAGAATGGATGAGCGAGGGGATGAATGGGTAGATATCGTACGAAACTTGTTTGAATTCTCGGGTACTTTTTTTTTTTTTTTTTTTTTTGATGACGGTTTTCTCGTTGCGAGGGCTTGGGCTGGGCTTGGTGAGTAGGGATGAATCGGATGGTGGTTGTGGTGGAGGAAGGGAGGGAGGAAGAGAGGGAGGAAGGGAGGGAGGGAGGAAGGAAGGGAGAGCTTGGCCGGTAGTAGATTGATTGCTGGGAGTGGTATAGAGATAAGCTCTCGTTGACGGACTGGACCTTTGACAAAGCTGGTTTGGTTTTTTCTTCTTTTGGTTCTCCGGACCGCTGATGAGGTTATCGCTAGAAGCTCTGGATCATGTGGGAGTGGTTGGATTGATTGAGGGTTGGTGTGAGTCAAAGGAAGCTTTTCGATGAACTTGGAGTGCTTCTTTTTCTCTCCTCTCGGGCTCCTCACTCGAACAGGGCTTCTCCCCCACCTCATCTCATACCATCACATAAGCTAGACAGCTCTTGATCTTCTCCAAGTGCGAAATATCTCCCTTCTTCCCTGTATCGTATGTAACTGGTGATCTAGGCGGTCACTATTTTCATGCAATACGACAGGTTTTGTGACTAGGGTGTCAGAATTTTACCAGGAGGCCCCGAGTTGTGACGTGGAACACACCCACCCGGCCGGGGGGGGGGGGGGGGTCGGACGGAATTTCTCTCACCTTTTTCTTTTTCTTCCTATTATCCTCAAACAGCCTGTCTTTGGTAGCTGTCAAGCTTCCATGGGACACGAATCTCTCTCGCTCTTCACGGAGCCCCCTCGTTGGAGAGATATGCCCTTTTTCTCGGCCCTCCGGTATTGGGCGTTCAGGAACGCCGATCCCAGTAGACGGAACTTATTTTTGCGGGCGAGTTTTGCTTCTTTCCCTGATCAACCCGAGTTTTTTTTTAACCAAGGGGAATGGTGGTTTGGTCGGGGCGGGAGGGGGCAAGGGAGCCTAGATTGGGTTCTCGCCCTATTCTGATTTCGTAGTAAACCATCTTAATGTGTGCCATATCCTCGGAGATATGCTTGGGGCACCCCTCCGGAGCAGCTCGACCGTATGTGTGTGTGCACGGAGTATAAGTATGGGGCATTTTCTGAGTTCTTAGAGTTAATAGGTCTGTGAAGAGGTGTCCGTAAATAATTCGTCGTTGGTTGAATGAGGGAGAACTGAAGACTGACTGGTGGTTGAAATGATAATCACAAATCGGAGAACTGGTGAATTCATCGGCGTTACCATAGTGGGTAATACCCATAAGGCATAGCAGGTGTGTGTGCGGAAAAAGTCCATCTGCACACAGCAGGGCTTGGAATCATATCATATCACTCGCCGGTAGTTAAAAAGCGAGATCTGCGGATGAATGGAGTCTTCATTAGGACAACTGGGCTATCTCCTGCACCCCCACCCCTCGGGTCTCCCTTGCTTTCCCGCTCTGTTCATCTTGCTTGGCAGTGTCCATTCAATAGCAGAAATCCACATCAGCGTTGGAGAGAAAAATAGATAAATTGATATGAAGGGAAAGTAATTCTAAAATATGCGGCACAGCCACAGCGATCACAGAAATCCACCCCCGAGACATTTACCGCGGGGGAATTATGATATCTAGCGATAGGTATCGCATCAAGCACGTATGTCCTTACTTGCCTCATCAGATTGGTGTTCGGAGGGGGGTTGCTGCGTTTGGGATGCGGTCAGCTCGAGGATAGTGTATAACATTGCACAGCACTTGTGCTTCATGCGGAGAGATGCCGGTGTCTGGTCGATCAAGAAAAAATGTGGGATGTACTCGTACGTCTGAATGGGTGGTATCTATATCTCCCTCCCCCTACTTCCCCCCCCCTTCTCTCTCCCCGAATGTGTGTGTATCCTCTTTTTTTCTTTTCTTTTCTTTTCTTTTTCTTTTTCTTCTTCTCCTTTTTGCCCTTTCCTTCCATCCCCTTAGTTCTGGGGGTAGCAAGACAGAGTTTAGGCCGAATGAATATCTGCCGGTCGTGTCTTTCATACACGAAAGCATCGAGGGGTAGCCCAACTCCGAGGGAACTTGTGTATCAGTTTCCCGTTTGAGTATATACTGCGTGTGCGAGTACAGTACACTACGAGTTAACACTACGGGGTTAAGGAGGATGCGAATCAAGTTGCAGGGTTTTTTTTTGGGGGGGGGGTGGGTGGGAAGATGGATGAGTGAGTGTGGGTGTGCCGGAGTACGATTTGATTTGCGAGGAATATGCTACCGGATTCTCGTGATCATTTAAGGATAACTCCCGTGACCCCCATTGACAATTACGGGATCGCCAGCTGGTAAGGTTGGCATAGTTCACTAGGTATGCTAAAGGACTATGGGGATACTATTCGTAGCGTTTACTGGGGGGATACCGCTTCTACAGGAGAGACGTGGGCCCAGGAAGACCCTACTTCTTCTTAGCCGAGTTTTTTTTTTAAAAAAAAAAGGAAGAAAAGGCAAGCTGTGATATGGGCCCAATCATCCATCTACACCCGTTCTCGCATTCCGTTGCCCCATAGCCGTGGCCATAGTACTGAAGCAGACTGCTTGATCATATAAATCCTGTCAATGAAGTGAGGGGAAACGGCTGCTATACCAATTGTACTATACAAAAGACAATCTTGACAGTGATGCATATCTGTCATGACGTGCCATCAGTTCTTTTTTTTTTTTTTGTTTTTAATGGGATCTCGATAGACGTGTAAATTAGTATCATACAGTACTGTACATATCATAGCGTTGACAAGGGGCACATCAAATCACAATCACTCCAGGCACTTTCTGTGTAAGTGAGAAACCCCCATGTGCAATTCAGCATTCGTTAGCGGAAGCGGACACACAAATGCCGTGACCGAGGGAGTTTTTTTCTTTCTCCTTAGGAGCTTATACCAGCATCTCATCTCAAAAGCGAAGGGCGACACCCGTCTTTACCGAGTGATTGTCAATGACTTTCCGAAACC